TCGCTGCCGCGCATGCTCAGGACCCCCTGCGTCTCCAGCACAGAAGCCCCGGCCTCAGGTGAGGCTGTGGGAGGAAGAGGGAGGGAGAGTGCCCGTGATTCCCCGCCTCGCCTTCAACACACCCCACACTCTCACCGCCACCTCCGCAGATTCCAGGGCGGGGGTGGGAGGCGCTGAAATTCAGGGTTGGAGGGGGCGCGGGAGTTGTGGGCGTGCGAATGGTGTGCGCCGTCTCCAGCACAGAAGCCCCGGCCTCAGGTGAGGCTGTGGGAGGAAGAGGGAGGGAGAGTGCCCGTGATTCCCCGCCTCGCCTTCAACACACCCCACACTCTCACCGCCACCTCCGCAGATTCCAGGGCGGGGGTGGGAGGCGCTGAAATTCAGGGTTGGAGGGGGCGCGGGAGTTGTGGGCGTGCGAATGGTGTGCGCCTTGCCCGCTCCTCCGCGCGCGAGCGCACACACACACACACGCACACACACACACACACGCTACACACACGTCTTATGTAACCGAGCCTGGGTAGAGCAGGGCTGCAGAAAGCAGCCGACACGGCGAGCCCGGCTCCCGGGAGCAGGTGGGACCTCGGTTGGCGGGAGGGGAGTGGTGACGGCGCTCAGAGCTCAGCAAACGAAACCCCACCATCGCCTGAGTGAGTCGGAGAAGTTTTGCCGTCGGACCCAGAGCCGACGGGGGGGGACGGTCCCCTCCCCGTCGCCCTGACCCACCCCACCCCGCTGCTTTCCCTGGACGGTGTGCGAACGCAGCCCCCCCTCCCAGGTCTCTGCCCCCGCGCGGGGCCCGGGCCTCGCGGCCGGAGGGAGCGGCCGGATGGAGCGGAGGATGAAAGGCGGATACTTGGACCAGCAAGTGCCCTACACCTTCTGCAGCGTGAGCGCCGCGCCTGCCTCCACGCCCGCCCCCGCCTTGCACCTCGCCCCACAGCCCCTTCCCCCAGGCCCCAGGGGGTCCAGGGTTGCCCGGCCCCTGATTCACCCCGAGAACCCCGTCCCACCCCCTAGACCAGCCGGGCTCAGGGTGATTAAGGGGCATTCTTCTCCTTCCCGGTAGAAATCTCCCGGAAATGGGAGCTCGCGCGAAGCGCTGATGGTCCCGCAGGGGAAACTCATGGACCCCGGCTCCCTGCCGCCCCCCGACTCGGAAGGTAAAGAGCCGGAGAGAGAAACGCTACCCTCCCCACCACACACCCCCAAAGGACCGATCCTGGAGCCCCCACCCTTTTGCCAAAAAGGCTCGCCCTCCAAGGGACGCTGATCATTCTTGGCCCCTGCCACCCCTAGGGGGGTCGCCGGGCTCGCTGGGGCTCCCTCTCCCTCACCATCACCTCCACCTCACCTTCTCCAATTCCATTATTCACCCCTCAGATCTCTTCCAGGATCTAAGTCACTTCCAGGAGACGTGGCTCGCTGAAGGTGAGTAGTTTATGACCTTTTCCATTACTGGGGTGGGGGGTGCTCTCAACCCCGCTATTCCAACCCAGCCCACTTCCTCTCTCCCCGGCCGCAGAAGCTCTGCAAGCCCCCTCCCCAAGGCCCCGGCCTTCCTGCGGTCCCCAGTGCCCAGCATGGACACTTATATTGATATTTATTTTCTCTACCCCGAGCCGGGCTTGTGTAACTAGGCCTGGGGATGAATCAGACCATTGTGTGGGCTATTTGCTTATTTGAATGGAACTTGGCCCCAGGCCCGTTTTCCTGGTTGAAATTTTCATTTGCAAAGTTTGTTTGGCAGCAACCACCAGGCTGAGGTGTGTGTTGGGGTGTTGGGGGGAGGGGTGCAAGGAACAGGAAGATGAGGAGAAAGAGCAATTAATTTGTGACGTATCTTCAGGAGTTGCCAAAACATTGGTTTTTACCTAAACTCTTGGTTTCTCTGCTTCCCAACTCCCAGTGCCAAACAATTTTCTGTCTGAGCCAAAAGAACAACAAACATTTAAATAATTCTTTTTTGCAGCACTTTGTCAAAGAGGGCTTTGAGCTCCCCCCTTCCCCTAATAGCCTTAATTGTCATTCTGATGGCAACTGAGCCTCCTCCTTTCCTCCTGAATTCCTCTACCCCAGGCAAATGCCCCCACTTGTGTACCAGTGGGTTAGCTGTAGCTGCACGCTGGCTGAGGTGGGGTCAGGAGCTGGGCCTTGGTTCAGTGGGGAAGTGTTCCGGGGGGGTCTCCTGGTTGGAGTCATTGGTGTGTTTTGGTGGGGCCTGAGGGTGTCGCTGGTGGGGCTGCAGGTAGGAGGCGAATGGTGTTTGGTCTCAGAAGGAAGGGTTAACACCCCCATCTTAGGGTCCCTTTATTTTAACTCTCTGAAAACCAAGAAACCTTTTCGAAGGCTTTTCTCTTCTTTAGACTCTCCCCAGCCCTCCACCTGGGTATTCTTGGTGATTTTTTTTTTTTTAAAGCTCAAACCCTGCTCCTCTGGAACCCTCTATAAAAGCTTGGTGTAGGAAGGAAAGATTCCTGATTAGATCCTTGGAGTGAGACTGGATCTGTCCTGACCACTGTGGTATCCCCCAAAATTATATATGTTACAGGATGAGTATTTAGCATAGAGCAAGTGCTCGAAACATTTTGTGGAATTCGTGGCTCACTGGCGACTCGAGTGCTGGAGGGGCCTGGGGGTTCTGGGGCACTGTGCACATCTCCCAGACTCGGCAAGCCCTGGGTGCCCCGCTGCGAGCTGCAGGCAGAGCTATGCCCGGGCTGCCCATCCTCCTCCCGAGGTTCCGGAGCTGGGCTGGAGCTGAAGAACGCGGAGGTGTCAGTTTCCACGTCTCTCAAAGACTTCCTTTCCCAGCGCCTGATTTCTGTCTGGCTCACCAGGCTCCTTGTCTGTCAGTTGAGGGTCCCAGCGCTCCCCACAGTGGGCAGCTCCCAGGGCTGTGATCGGGGAGTGGGCTCAGAGGTTGGCATTTTGGCAGCAGCTGGTCCATTTGTGCCTGGGTTGGAATGGGAAGGAGAGGAAAATGTTCTCATCTTCTCTCAACCTTGGAAGCCCCACCCCTTGGCGGTGGGGGTCCAGGGACTGTACGTGTGTCTATCTGCGTGTGTCAGTGTGACAGTCAGTGTGTGCTTCATGCTGCTGTCTTGCAAGTCTCTGTACATTTAAAGCCAGTGGGTGGGGAGGTGGGGGTGGGGATCATAATAAGACGGAGGGGGGGGGGCGCTGGGATCTCCTTGGTTCCCTCTTCTTCCTTCTGAGGGAGCAGCTCAGGTTCCCAGCTGGCGATGGATGGCCAGGCCTGAGGGGGGGGATGCTGAGGCCGCTTGCTCCTTCTCATTCTCTCTGTGGAGACAGATGCAGCTGCCGGGGCCCTGTCCCCCTGCACCACCCCAGCACCACCCCAGCCTCCTCTCCTGCCTCTTCCCACCAGGTCAGTGGCCCCTGCAGCCCAGGGGGAGCTTTGGGGTGGCAGGGAGGGGCTAGCCCCTTTGGAAACTTGCCAGAAATGGGGCGCATCCTTAGGAATGGGGGCCGGAGTCCAACCGCCGTCCCTCAGCCTGAATTTTTCCTACAAACCCAATTTGGAAAGAAGCAGCAGGCCTTGTAATGTGTATGTGTGGAGGGGGGGAGATTGTGAAACATTCAATGGATGCCCAGGTTGGATCCAGGCCGATGTAGATTGTGGGTTCAGAGTCTGTCCGGGCATCATTGGGGTGAATGTGAGTGGGGCTCTGTGGGGGCAGGCAGTTCAGATACCTTTGGGGTTGGGGTTTTTCTAGGCAGAGCGAAGGGGGATAAAGTGAGTCTAAGAGGGCATGTCTGGTTTCGGGGTGCCTGCGATCTGTCGAGTTGCCGGAGAAAGGATCGGGCTGAGCCCACGCTGCGCTGGTTATGGCAAAAGGTGTGTTGCTTTTGGTCCAGAGCTGCTTTCCTGGCTTGTGGGGAACGCTCGGGGACAAGGACTTCGGTCTCTGTAAGGAACACTGACTGGGCCATCTATGGCCTTTGTGTGAGGCTGGGGTCTGGGGCGTCCCAGAAGCTCTGCAGATGAATTGCAGGGGTCCTTGAGCTCTCTGACAGTGTAAAATGTTGGGGTGTGCCAGACACAAAGGATTGTGGATTTTCTAGAAAGAGAATGATCCTCACCTTTTATGAGATTCTCAGAGATGGGTCTCTGCTCCCCTTTTCGTAAGAATCACTGCTCTCAATCCCCCTCCGAGGTGTCCAGTCCCCTGGCCCTTTGGTTTCCCCCATTGTCTTTGTAAATCCAAAGGAGACCCTTTGTGTGAAGGGTGCGCCTGGGGGATGTGTTTTACTCGTGTGCTGCTGTAAAGTAAAAGGACGGAGGGTGTGTGTGGATCCCTGTGTGTGCCCGCCAGTGCCTTAGCATGTCTGTGGGGAGAGATGAGGTTAATCCCATCCCCCAGTCTTTTAGCTACAATACCTCCTTCTACGTATTTCCGTCGCCATCTCTTCTAGAAGGTTCTTGGGGACAGATGTCTGCTCCATAGGTACAGAACTGGTTCCTTCCAGTGCAGAGGGTGGGGGCAGGGTAAGGGTGAGAGCTGAGGCCAGCATTGACACAGAGGAGCAGAAGCTTTGGGGGATGGCTCCCCACCTCTCCACTGGGATCCCTTAAGAGGCCCCTTCATCCTGCGATCGGGCCCTAGGAAGGGGAGATGGTGATGGGCTTACATGGTGTTGGTGAGTGGCTGATCTGAGGTAGAATTAGCTGCTTGGCTGGCTTAACCTTCCAATTCTGGCGCCCTGCTTGGGAAGTGCCTAAGCCCCTCCTCTTCTACTACCCACCCCATCCCACCCCTCTCCCCCTGCCCAGCCTCTTTGTTAGAAGGATGTTCCCTAAATTTCTCTCTTTGGGCATTTTGCTGGCTTGGCACTTTTCCCATCCTTCATCACCTGCCATGTCCTCGGGCAGATCATCTCAACCTTAGTGCCAGGGTGGAGTTGGGGGAAGACTAGCACACTGGCTTGGCAGCCAAAACTCAGCCAAGTTAACAAATAAATAAAGAGTGGCATACACTCAAGACCAAACATGGTCATTAGAAATCTCCTGCTCTCCAGGAACATGAGGTGCAATGTTAAATGTTCCTGTTCCTATTTCTTTTTGTTGTTGTTGTTAATCCTCACCCCAGGATATTTTCCCATTGATTTTTAGAGAGAGTGGAAGGGGGGCGGGGGGAGACAGAGAGAGAAACATCCATGTATCGATTGGTTGCCTCCCCGGGTCGAGCCTGCAACTGAGGTACATGCCCTTGACTGGAATCAAACCCAGGACCCTTCAGTCCACAGGCCGATGCTCTATCCACTGAGCCAAACCGGGTAGGGCTTACTGTTCCTATTTCTATCTTTGTTAACAGTTTCTGGCAACTGAGGCCCTGTCCCGCTCCTTTGGGAGAAGCCAGTGTTCTAGGGAAGGGCCAATCAGGGACTGGGTTCATGCCACAGCCCATTTTTACCTCCACTGATTTCTCCTGGCCCTGGGAAGAGGGTGGCACTGCCTCTTCTGGAGTGTGGTCTGTGTGCTGGGCGTGGCACACAGCCTCTGGGTCTGCTGTGGAGAGGAGGTCCTGGCCAAATCTTCAGGCCTGGGGTAGAAGGCAAGGCAAGATGAACCCTAGGGTTGTCATGTGAACTGGCATGTGACGTCAGTAGGAGATGCCCCCAGCCATTACCTCAGTAGAAAGCAGCAGTTAATGAAGCCCCAGAGGGGATTCTAGTGCGTCAGCCTCCCCATGGTCTGCACCCCCACCTCCCGTCCTCAGGTCCCGCCTTGCCGAGTAGCAGGGAGGGACATGTTGCTCATCCTGCTCCCATTACCCCCATCCAGCCACCTGTGGTTGGGCCAGAGGACACAGCGTGGATGAACGTAGGCTTGCACCAATCTTGCCCATTCTTACAGGCACTTGTTAAAAATAAAGACACCTGGACCCCACCCAGGGCCTATGGAATGAGACTTGGGGGGTGGCTTGGAATCCACGTTTTAACAATGTCCCCAGATTCGTGATCCAGGCCAGTTAGGGGATGGTTGCCTTTGTGCCCGAGTGGCGCTTCTGAAAAGATGTGTGCTCCCTGTGTGTTTGTGTTTTTGCCAAGGGGTTTCGTGTCCTACTGACTTACTTAGTCACTTTAGAATTGTTTTACGTTGATGTTTCATCAATTCTTTAGCTGTTGGTGGCTCCTGGTTCTTAAACCGCCTCTGCCCAATCCCTCTGTCAAGAAGTCAACTGCCTATAAACATCTATTTTAATAAAACACTTGAGTTTTAAAGAGTGGCGTACACTCAAGACCAAACATGATATTTAAAGCAAGTTGGTGAAGAATTTTCCTGCCACGGCCTCAAGTGTCCCACGTGAGAAGGGTTTTCCCCAGAGGACCTGCCTCTAATGGTACCTGGTGGTGGAGAGGGGGTGCCCTCAGGGTGAAGGAAGGGCTGGTTGGTCAGGATCTCTTCAGTTCTTGCTCCCAGGCCTGCCACCCTGGCTCCCACCAGCCTGAGGACAGAGGTCATTCTATCTTTATTCACAAAGTTGACAAATGATGCATTGAGTGCCTATTCTGAGCCAGACCCCTTCCTGGGGTACTGGGGAATCAGATGAAAAGACAGATAAGTCCCATGCCCTCAGCAAGCTTAACTTCTTGGTTGAAGAGATGGACAAGAAACATGTGAACACAATAAATTCAGGGACCCATACCGTGCTGGGGAAGAAATAAAATGGATGCAAGAAAGGACTGGGAGGGGGACCACTTTGGTCTGGGTGGTCAAAGAAGACCTCTGAGGAGGTGACAAAGTGAACTAAAACTTCAATGGCCAGAAAAAGCAGGCAGGCAAAGATCTGGGGAAGAGGGATCAAGCTGATGAGCTTTGAAAGGAGGCCAGAGCTCTAGAAAGTAAAGGGCCAGCAGAGGCAGGCCAAAGAGGTACGCAGCCTCAGACCACGCGGGGCCTTGGCGGCCGAGGGGAAGAGTTTGGGGTTCACACTTTAAGCAGGAGAGCGAAGTGATTTGACTTCCGTTGCCCTGACAGCTCTGTGGAGAACAACCGACAATCGGAGGTGAGCGTGGACGTAGGGAGTTTTGATCAGAGGCTGTGGCTGAAATCACCAAGGAAGCAACTATGGAGCCTTTGCCCAGGAGCAAAGCAGTAGAGTTTGGGGTGTCTATCTGTACAGGCTAGGATGAGGGAGGGTGTTCTCCAGCCGTCCCCTTGGACCCTCACCCTTACCAGCCATTCCTGATTCTGGTCATCTTCTCCATCAGCTTCTCCACTTTCTAATCTGAGGGAAGTCTCCTTGGGTTTTATCACCTCACCTTTGAGCCCCTCTCTTCCTGGACTATCAGGAAGTTCTTCTTGGTGTCTTCCCTTTCCCTTCCTGCTATAATCTATTCTTGAGAGAGGGACAAACCTGGGCAAAGGCTCTGGAGTCAGGGGAGGTAGTCAGCTGTAGACCCACCTGAAGGAGTTGGTGAGACCAGGATAAGAACTGGAAATCAACCCAGATGTCCAGGTTGGAGGCCATGGATGAGCTACTGTTCTATTTTAGTTTTGCTGCCTAATTCCCAAACCCAGCTCCACCCCCGCTGCACCCTGGGGATGCTCCTCGAGAACTTCCAAGCTTGGGAGCCCTTCTCTCTTCTAGCTGCACATCAAAGGGATGAGGCCCCTGACCTCCCGGTGTCCTCAGCCTCTTCCTCTCCTTTGTCAGCCCTTATTTATTTATTTTTTTTTTACCTGCCTCGAACCACCCTCTTTTCTCCATTCCATCTCTTTTCCTGGGATCTAGATTTCACCTTGGAGGTTGTATGAAATGCAGATTCCAGCCCAGATTCAGAATCTCCCCTGTGATTCAAAGTCCACGGGATCTCACTCCTTGTCATGCCTGCCCATCCCAGATGTGACTGCTGTTGCTTTGAGAGAGCTTTGTAAACTCTGAGGGGCAGGGCTGTCTTCACTTCAGAAAAATGGAGGGAATAAAGACAAAGCATCTAGGAAAAGAATGGAATCTGCTCAGACAGGTTCTGAGCATCTGCAGCCTCTCCCCTCCAGGGTCTTAATGGAGCCAGCGATGGAGGGCACTAGGACCTGGTGTGAAGTTGTCTTTATTCCTAGGAAGGCTGTTTTATTTTGGGGGTGGGTGCTAAGCTGCTGGGCTGCTTTAATGGTATCTCCCAGGGGCTGCCATCCAGGGCCCCACCCTCCCTCCCACTCTAGACTCACCTTTGACCTCTCTTCGCAGCTCAGGTACCAGATAGTGATGAACAGTTTGTTCCTGATTTCCATTCAGAAAACTGTGAGTAGAGGGCCCTGGGTAGAGGGAATGGGGAGTGGGGAAGGGCAGGAAATGAGTCACAGGGACAGAGAATCACAAAAGATCAACTTGTTCTCTCCTAAAGAAAGGGGTGAAGGGCAGGGCTCCCCATTCTTGGGTTTGGACTCAAAGACCAAGGCAGTAACTGGGACATGAAGACCTGGGGGGCTTCTCCATCCTAGCTGGGTGACCTTGGAGCAGACACTTCATCTCTCTGACCCTCCATTTCCTTATTGCTGAAATGGGCAGGCTTGGACCAGGTCAGCAGGGTCCAGTTCTAAGTTATTTCCATGCAACTTGGGAGCTATTTTGTGCCCCTCCAACCCATTCGCAATGTCTGTAGACATTTTTGGTTGCCACAACTGGAGCTAGATGCTCCCGGCCCCTCGTGGGGAGTGTCGTGGGATGCTACTAAATACCCTACAATGCTCAGGATAGCCCCCCAACAAAACATTCTCTGGCCCAAATGTCAATGGTGCCGCTGTTGAGAAACCCTGTTTTAATTTAATGCCAGGAACTTTGCTCTCCACTGTCTTTCCCAATGAAATGAAACAGGGCACACATAATCGGAAACAGCAGATAACAGATGGGTTGATGGTAGGCATTTGACCCGGCTGCAGTAAGACAGAACCGCACACTCTGCCAGCTCGGACCCAGCTCTGTGCTTCTCTGCCTGGTGGCTGCAGTTTGTGGACGCAGCAGGGGCTACAGGGAAGGCCAATGTTCTCCACAGATAATGAGGAGCGTGTGTATCATGTTCGTCAGCTGACATGCGAGTGGCTAATATCCAACCTCCACCAGAAAAGAAAGATTCTTTACAGCCCCAAATAAGAAAACATCTCTCTCCCTTGGAATTTTCCAGGGCGCTTGGGAAAACCACAGGCCCTCGGTTGAAAGTGCTTGCCCCTACAAAGGTGTTTTGCC